CTTCGAGTGCGTACTTGAGTGCGGATCCCCTGGACTCGGGGAGTGCTCGGTTGAAGGCATTCTGAACAGCCAGATGCGACAACAAGCGCGAGTCTCGGAGGAGACATGCTCGGCTTTCCACGTGAGAGAGATAGCGTGGCTGTGGAGGCTGAAGTGGCGTACTCCACAGTACGGTGAGTGAGCTGTAGTATGCGCGACATGGTCTCGGTGTGTTGAACCAATGTGTTTGTTTAAAAGCGTAAACTATGCAATGCCTCAAGTCAAGACACCCGACAGGGCGATTACTGGTCAATACGTAATAGTCTTATAACATCGATGCTTAGCAGCGTTCTCACGTCTAATGCAGAAAGGATTCGAACGTTCTTTGAACATGAAAAAGTGGGAATGATAGTTCCGAATAAAGAATTTCGGCATTAGCTCTGAGACAACTAAAACCGCACAATACCCGAAATCTAAGACATTGGCACCGAAAGCGACAATGGTATCTGAGTGGCACTTCAACACGACAGCTCAAATATCCTGCATCATACAATGTTCCGTTCCGGGTCCGCTTTGCTCTGTCGATTGGGAACCAACGTTCGGTAGAATATCATAGCGTAAACTAGGGTTGCCCGCGTGGATGTCCACAAATCACGCACCACGGTCGATTGACGAAGCCCGTGGTTTTAGTTGAGGTCTCGTGTTGAAGGCCTTTACATAGAAGAGATGGAGAACTTCTGAATCTGCGGTTGTTCAACTTCAACCTAGACGTGTTCGGCTCGCTGGCAACTTAATTCATGGACGTGGATATGAGAGACATAATGGACAAATGTAGAAACTCTGGTTTAAAGATGAGCACGCATTTCCGATTTGTATACCATGCGACTGGATATGGCAGACTGGAAAAGCCCGCTGGCACCGCCGGGCACAAGCTATTGATGACAGAGGGTGTCGCGCTCGATTCATTCAAAGGACGAGATGTGTTATTCGATCAAAGAAAGAGTTGGCCCAGCGGGCAGATTTCCAGGCTATGCGACAGCAGTAGCGGAGGAAAGACATACAGCTGTATAATCAGATGGGGGAGTAGGTACATCAGGGCGACGTTGGTACAGAAAGTGCAGGGCCCTGTGTTTGTCATACTAGAAAAGTGACATGAGTTGAATTGATGCATTTGTCTAGGGACAGTGACGATCGAACGATTGAGTC